TTGGAGTAGTATGCAGCTCCCCAGTCACTAATACATATCTCCCATTCTTATCAACTATAGTGGAGTTATGTTTGAACGGGGTATCTTTCTTAATTAAGATAGCTACCCCTCTAGTTTTGGCGGAAAGTGTTGAGTAGTACACCTGATTTATCCATCTACATTTAAGTTTATTGTGAGCCGCATTTTTCAAGTGAGTTTCTTGTAAAAAAATAATATCCACGTTAAGAGATTTCAAGTACGATAAAACTTTGCCTCTTTTAACAGGTTCATTTACACCCTTTACATTCCAAGTACAAAAAGTTAAATCCACATTTTTTACCTTTCCATTATCTTGCATTTGTATACTTTAGGGCGGCTTAATTCTCGTATTTTCCATATTCGTACAGTCGAGATACCCTACCCGTGTGTAACCGTGACAAAAAAAAAAACGTAAGCAATGCATCCCCTTCCGTGTATCCCAGGAAAAAAAAAAAAAAAAAAAAAAAAAAAAAAAAAAAAAAATTCGAGGGGATGCTATAACAAAAACTAAGCTTACCAAAATATTCTATCTCAAAACTTCCTTTGTCCATAGCTCCTGGGCAAATGATGATTTTTTATATCAAAGTAAGTACATGTCATTGGGCCAGATGCAGAGCTCTGGTTTATTTACCTTATGCCGTCCTTATTGAGATCCAAATTTTTCTTGTGCGTAGCGAAGTGCTTCGTTGGGATCTATAAAGACCAGTTCCGTACCATTGTGTGTCACCCTAAGTTTAGCCGGGTATAGAAGTCCATATTTAACTCCGGGTTGGTCTCGAAGCAGGTTTCTTGCTGGAGTAAATGCTGCACGTCGTTTTACCACCGCCTGGGGTAGATCGCGGAAAATCTGAACGCGGATATCTCCGAGCTTCAGATTTTTCCTGATGGAGATTCTTCGAAGTATTTCTTCCATAGTATGGCAATAGTGTATCCTCACAATCAAGTGTCGTGGCGGGGCCTCTTCTTCTGGGGTCACTCGTAGGGCTCTGTGTGCACGGTCCACCAGTGGGGTTTCGTCCAGGTCTAGTAGGTCTCGTAGTAGCCTTGCCGCAAAGTCTCTAGGACGTTGACCTTTTTCTCTACCTTCAGGTACTCCGGCTATCCTTATATTTTTCCTCTTTGAACGCCCTTCCAGATCAGTGCATTTTTCGGACAGTTGTTCCACTTTATTAGAAAGTTGTTTGACTTTTTCTTCTAGTTTCACCACGGAGTTAGAAGTGATTGTCGCTGATTCTGATAGATCTTTCAGCTGTGCATTGTAATTTTCCATTACCGTTTTTAGAGCTGTGATGGCTTCATTATTTTCAGCCCTTAGCGTTGCGATTTCCCCACGTAGGGTGTCGCAAACGTCTATTTTCATTTGAGTTATCTTATTATCCAAGGAAGTAATCGCAGAGAGTACTTGTTTGTTACCTTGTGTATATTCCTCGAGTGCGGAGTTAACTGGCGTGCCAGCTTTGGCGCCGTCATTTTCAGTTGAGGCCACATCAAATTCGGTCGTTTCTGTCGCCACTAGCTTCGGATTTAGTTTTTTTGGAGGCATTTGGAGAAGAATGCACTCTTCACAATCCCTATGTTGCTTTGTGGGAAGAAGATGTATTACTTTGATATTTGTCGAAATTTCGTAAAATCAGGTGCAGGAGCTGTGGCACACGCGTCTTCACCCTCTCATTATCTAACCGGAAGTCCACTAATGCTTAATAGTTTGACGTTATTATAAAGTGCTACCCAGTTAAAAGCATTGATCTAATAAGATCATATTTTTTCACATATCCCTGTAATATAAACACTCAGGCTGCTCTAAATGCTCAATGTCAGAAAGGTCTTCTTCACTGAGCAGATATTATTAATATGGCACATGGCTCAAGTTCTGTTTTAGTTAAACTTATTGCAGCCCTTTTCTTTAAACTGCTGCAGTCAGGTGACCCATTTACCAAAATGCAGAAACACCAAGCAAGCCGCAAACCACATGCTTTAACTTTTCAGTATGAATAAGAGGCTATTGAAAAGTTCCATATGGCTTTTAGGAGTTGAACATATCTTGGTGTCTTTACTTTAATAAACAGTAGATATGACGTATTAATGTTGTATGTGGAAATGCTTTATCTGCAGGTGTACAAGGACGTATGTAGCATGCCAGTGACTAAACCGTACATGGCTCATAGACTTCGGGGAACAGTGTGGGGGCTGCACTTCTGTCCCTTTGAGGATGTCCTCGGAGTTGGGCACGGAGATGGTTTCACCAGCATGCTCGTACCAGGTCACTCAATTTTGCATTACATCTGGGCATGTACCTTAACTACATTATGTAGGTTAAGGCCAAAGTGAAAATTTTAACAAAAATATAGGTGCACTAATTTGATGATTGATCCTAATGGGTTGTTACAATTACTACATTCACTGAAGTAAATTTATTTTTTTATTTTTTTGTAAATCCTGGCATACATATTACTGTTGACTAAAACTGAATGCAACGCATCATTTACTATCATAGGTGCTGGTGAGCCTAACTTTGATGGTCTGGATGCAAATCCATACCGAAGTGCGAAGCAGAGGCAGGAATGGGAGGTTAAAGCACTGATGGAGAAGATTCAGCCAGAACTTATCAGCCTTGATCCCACTGAGCTGGCACAAGTTGACCAGGCCACCTGGGAACAAAGGCATCAAGACAGGGTTGAAGTTCTGGTCAGTGTCTTAAAGCAACTGTGCATTTACAATTATTTAAGATGTATATCTGTATATTTTGATATAAGATATAGTAGGCTAAATATTATTGCCACCCATCTGAAAGCATGTTTTATCTTTTTTTTTTTTTTTTTTTTTTTTTCTCAGGGATTTGATCCACTTGCTAAAGAAAAGTTTGTCCCCAAGTATAAGAAAAAAGGTCGTAGTTCTGCAGGAGCCATTGAGAGGCGCAAGAAACAAGTGGCTCATGAGGAGCAGAGGGTGAGTAGTCCAAGTTAGGAAATGAAATTTAATCACATCTCACTGACTTTTATGCTGTATTTGCAGGCCATGGCTGATCTCTCTTGACTTGTTTACTCCCCAGGATGTAATCAGAAAAAGCGTGGAGGACAAAATGAAGATGGAAAAAGAAAGGAAGGAGCGAGAGCGGAAGAAGGCGGCGTTATCTACCCAGAAATCAGCTCTGGACAGATTCAAGAAATAGAAAAGAAACATGCTTTGTGCAGCTGAAAGCCCAGTGGCATTCTATGGGAGTGACCTTTGAACTTTGCATAAAGAACACGGTTTTTTTGGTTGTTGTTTTTTTTGCACACATAATTCCACTGCAGGGAGCAAAACACCAACTGCTGAAACTCTGGGAAGAAGGGCTTGCATTGTGACGGGCAACTAATCAATTTTGAGTGGAGCAGCGGAGGAAGCTATATTTGATGTCTGCATCCTGTTTGCATGGGCAGATGTGCTAGCTGGGATTGATTTCACCCAGAAGTTTTAACCTTGTCAGATGGTGTTCTTTCCTCTGAACTTTCTGAGCATATGTCAACTGTGTTATAATTGGGTATAACTAAATTCTAAAAATAAACAACATAATGCCAAGCCTTTGAATTGAGACTATTATTTTGAAATCACGGAACTGTTATTACTGAATCCAAACCAAGCTGGAATATATTTACCATGATTACGTCTTTGGGTGGAGTAAAATTCCTTTTATCAAATTAGAACAGCAGAAATTTGATCATCTGAGGAACGTAAAGGTTTTGGTATTTTAAATATTTTATGTTTTAATTTGTATGTGTGCGTGTGGCTGTTTTTCTAGGATTCACATTTTACGTGTTTTTTTTCTATCGATGCTTATCCTAATTTAAGTATTTCAAACTAACTAAATCATAGCAGCATGACAGACTGTCACAACTGTTTGCTACTTTGCTGTATATTTATAGAGGAGGAACAGTTTTATAGAAATGTTCAATCCTGCTCAAAACAAAACACAGACCTATTTTTCATTACTGAGTAGTTTATTGGTTGCTTTAATCTAATACATATTTTTCCTGAGTACAGTGGATCAGCGTTTCCCTTTAAACACTGTGGGTGAGAATAACAGCCTGAGGTTTTATTGACAAATGGCAGCCTCATTGAAAATGTATGTGATCCAAGCCTGACACAGTTGACCATAAAACTCACAGCATTGCAAAGCTGCCAGTCAGTGTGTAATCTTGCCAAAAGAAAGGAATCTTATAAGTAATAGTTGTCAGATGCATAAATATTCAGCTGTGCATCATATTAGTTTTATTTTCAGTTGTTTAAGAAAATAATTATCATGCATTCGGTTTCAGCTATTTAATGTAATGTGAAGCCTTCATGAACCCCCCCAAAGATCCCTGTATCTAATCGAGGTAATCCCTTCGTATTGTGTGTGAATATTGTGCCCTTGTGGCTGAATAACATCATAAATCCCTCCTTTTAAAAAAAAAAAAAAAAAAAAAAAAAATACTCTAGTCATTATTGGTGATTCTAAAACTTCATTATTGCTGTGTAATAAGCCTGTGATTTTATATCGGTCCTATTTTTTTGTGAACATGCATTTAAACTATTATACTTGGCCTAGACTACAGGCCTGTGCAGGTGTTGAAAGTAGCAGCCTATAATCATTACTTAGTTATCTAAACAATGTTGTTTTAATGTGCAGTTGCTGCGTGCGTCCTTACTTTAAAGCATCAGCATGCTAAACTTTGCTCTACATCTACAGTTCGTGTCAGTGTAATAATGTGGGAGGCAGCAGACACCCCTATACTACAGCTGATCCTGACAGCCCCCTTTACTACCAGCGGATCTTCCCTTTTCAGCAAAATAAGATACATAAGTACATTGAGGTGTTTAAAAAAATAAAGCTTTCAAATTAAACAAAGTATCATTTTCGTAGTGCACGTGTAGCTTCACAGCCTAAAGAGCACTTGTGCTGTTCACAGTATTGAAGCGAGGCACAGCCTCCAAATAAGTCCGAGTTTGCTTTCCGTTAACCCTCACAATCCTTGCTCCAATCCCAGAGCTGTGCCCAGCATCGCCCGGACTTTGCAAATCCCCAAAGAAGCACGTACATTCAACCAGGAGCAGGGAGGTGGTGAATGCACATCAGCCCAATAGTGCAGCATGTCTCTGGGTGGGATGTGGTGGATGGACACCATGGCCTGATAGCAGCAGCGTCCGTACGGCATACTTGGTCCACCGGAGAAGAGAGGGCAGTGTGAGGGGAGCACTCCAGCTGCCCGGGCACACAAGCCTACAAACACATCCTCGGGCGGAAGAGGTGTGGATAACGGTGATGCAGAGGCTGCCAGGGAAATTTTGAGCAATGCAGACCGGGACAATACATAGGCTGTGCCACTGCAATAGTCTGGAAAGACAGAAGGAGGGTAGGCTCCTGAGGGTAGGTAGTGCTTGCTGTCCGGGTCCCGGTCGGGAGCCACATGGAGATGCACCCTGCCAAGGTACAAGTCTCCTTGTTCATAGGGGTTACGGCTCTTATTCAGAAAGTGTAGGAGAGAGCTGGGATTGAACAGGACATCATCATCCACTTTGGCCATGAAGTGAGCCTGAGGGCAGAACCTCCGGGTCCAGCCCAGCATGGACAGAGTCTTAAGGGTGAGGTTGGAGTACGTGTCCAAAAAACGCCCCTGAACCAGGTCTCCCTTCTCCCGAGCCTCTTCTATCAGCAGCTTAGCCAGTCCGGGGTCAGACGCCACACCGACCATGAAGAGGGTCATGACCCGCAGACCTCTCACCTCCACCTCCCCTCCCCAAGTGTCCCTGATGGCTTGGCGAGCCCTCTGATTGGCAGGAGCCGAAGTAACCATCATGATGAGGTAAGGCTTGGCACGTTGGCACACAAGTGGGCTAGGCATGAGCAAAAATTCCTCTGGTCTGGTAGGAGGGACGCTTTGCGGTGGGATGATCCCGATGTGCGGCTCTACCACAGTGTTCATTCCCATGGAGGTGACCCATGATTCAATGAAGTCCACGAAAAGCAGAGCCGACAGGGCTGAGCACGCTATCACCGCGCATAGAAAAGGCAGAATCCCAGGCTTGTTACCCCTCTTTCCTGCCCGGGTCTTACATACCCATAATGCGCGTCCGATCATGACCAACCTCTGCTGAAGACCGCTGTGGCCGCCACAATCCCCCCTCTTAATCCTTGGCTGTCCCTCGACTTCACAGCTAGAGGTATCTCCTTGTCATTGCGTCTCTTTTTCTTTTTCTTTTTTTAACCTTCGGGCGTCCCCCTTCGTTCCTCTTTCGGTCTCAGTTACAGTAGGACCAGCAGTAGACTGTGTCAGTGGGAGGATGCGCCAGCTTTTAGTTTTTTTGTTGATGCTGCAGCTTGATTGGATTTTGAGAAAGTAGGGTTTGCAGCTGCGCATATGAAACGGTCGATTCCCCCCGCTACCCCAGCTCTTATGAAGCGTTTTAGATGAGATAAAGGTCGAGCTATGCGCGATAAAGACCCGTTACTCCACCCATGCTTGTTTGTCAGACTTTCCGGGGCAAAGCTGTTTCTGCTTCTTTGCTTTGAAGGTCGGCGGTTTTTAGGTCACAAAGCTACGTATTCCTTTACAGCCAGATGGCCGTACAGGCTCTGAAATGACATCCAAAGACTGTAATTCTGATCCTATTATTTAGAATCAGTCAAAGATGTGAGTCTTGGCTGCAGTCTTTTTTCAATGAAGTGGCAAAACCCCAGCGTGCGATTTACAAACTAGAAAATCCAAAGTAGTGGAAAAATATCTGAAAATGCGCTATTTTCAGATATGTATGAATTTTCCTTTGAATCAGTGTGGAGCGGCGCTGCGCTTTTCTCTTCTGCAGTCGCTCCTGTCATACGGGATGGTGCAGGGTGACACCTGGTGGTGATGCTTGGTTACGTTTCCTTCCTGTCCTTATGTGAGAGTGTATGTGTAAGCAAATTGCCTATCCCACACGCTAAAACTGCGCTTGGGGAAAAACTGAAGCAATCAAGTGGTATTTTATTTAAAGTGTAGTTCTTTTCATTACAGTTAACCACCCAGAAACGTCCTAGGTCTTAAACACCTCTATCATAATTATCATTTATCATGAATAATAAGCTTAAAGTTATCATTTATGAAATGTTAAGTTTAAACTGTTCAATACACTCTGGAGTGTATTGAATAGAGAATCACATGAATAAAAATAAACTCACTGGCACAACCGATACAAGAATTATAAACAAGCTAAAGGAAAGATAAGATGGTTAAAACAACTTAAACAGTAACAGGCTGTCCAATACCCTGCATGTATCACTGGGTAAATCCCAGGGAAATCACCACAATATGAACAGCTGGACATAGCCAATACAGATGTCTACTGGGAGCCATAATCTTCCATATAAGGAAGATACTTCCTGCATGTTTTGCTCAGGCTACATGTCTACAAGAAAGCAGTGTTGGGTTATGGGGTTTTAAGGGAGCAAGCATGCTTAACTTCAGGTGGCAGCAGGGTGACCATAAA